TCAGGACCCCCGAGCACTGTTTTGACTGTGTGAGGCCCCCCCCCCCAAAAAAAAAAGTAAAGGTCCTCCAAGACGGTTTCACCTGCAAGTGTCGTAAGAGGATGTGCGCAAGATCCTGACAGAACTGGTAAGGATACACCTGTGCCAGTTTGGTTCTGCTTCCGAAGGTACCAGCGTTTCCCTCTAGGGGTTGGTGTTCATGCTTGACGCTTGACTGAGCTGGAAAAGTTTTTACACCTTCTGAAGATCGGTCTCATAACCTCGGAAGGTAAACAGTGCATCAAGCTCGTGGGCTTGAGACTTCTGAGCCCGGATTCAGGATCTTTTAGTCCGTATGCACAGAAATGGAAATCTCCCCAGGTCACGGATGGGTCTGAAAACAATTGTTGCATGCATTTCAGATACCATGTCCTGGATGTCTGAGGATTTTCGATAATGAAGTATCTTCTGTGCTTCAACTGACAACGCGCAATGGATGCCACAAATTCAACCATGGGAAGGTAGCATCTCCGCTTTTCCCCAACCTTTTGTTGGTCTTGCTGGATGTTCTGCATATTTGACCATGGTCCACAGACCGGTGCCATAAGGATGACATCAGGCGCTTGTTCCCTGATGATCTCCATGACCATGTGTCGTCCCTTGGATGTCATTACATCGAATCCTGTGCGGATGTCCACGGGAGTCCCAACCTTAAGACCTGATAGTGCACAGCATTGACTGAATCTGGCACTTCCTGCAAAGATCTCGAGAACGCGGATTTTTCCCTTACGTACACAATTCCAATGTGCTTGTTCAAGAATGGATGTGAGGTCCTCGACGAACATGTTCTCTGCTGGATGAGGTACTGCAGGTTTTGGAGTTGTTTTTCCCGCGATACGTAATGGCACTGAGGATCTTGGCTTAGGAGCTGGTGCGGATGATTCCTTTTTCTTGGTATCTACAGAGGAGCCTGGTTGCTCCTTCTGCAAGGATTCTCGCTCTTCAGGTAACAGAAGGTCAATTCCGGGTTTCTTTGGAGGGATGGTCTCATCCTTCCTGAGCTTCGTCATGTTAACCTTGATGAGTCGAGTCCCAAGATCAAGTCCTACCATCGCTCCTTCAATGGAAATGACTTTTCCCTTTAGCCATATTCCTCCCTTGCTTCCATCGGAACGAATCTTGGATTTGTCTTCCTGCCAGTAGAATACCTTGTCCTTCACCTGAAGAGGCTTTGAACTCATTCGGAGATTTTGAGCAAGGTCTCGTCGGATGTCCTCGGATTGACGTGCTTGGTGGAAAGCTTGCTTTGACAGCTGCTTGATCTGGCTGCCATCTCTTCTTCATTCCTGTCAATCGTCAACTGAGTTGGTGTTGCGACATCGAGTTGGATGAGATCTGCTGGTCGTCTTCCGAATGCGAGCTCCAATGGTGTTACTCCCCCGTAGGTGACGGTCTGATTGCTGACAGTTGCAGCGGCCTTCACTAGCTGCCTGTAGGTCACTTTCTTCAGTGTTGCAGGTGCAGTGCCTGCTTTGATGGAACTTTGCATGATCTTGAGTTGTGCCTTCAGGAGTCGAACTGCTGCTTCAGCTCGATTTGGCCATGGTGTATTCGGTCCCAAGGATATCGGTGTGATGTCAAGGGACTGATAGAAATGTTCCCGTGTATCTGCGACAACTGATTTGGGCTGCAAGTGGTACTGGTCAAAATGGTTCCTGAGGACAGTGATGTTCTCGACTTCTTGCGTAGTTGTCACTGCCTCTGCAGTGAGCAATGTTGTTGCTCCATCCAGGATGACAAAAACAATGATGTGTTCTCCTGTTCCAAGAGGAACTTGACAGTGACCAATGAATGTCATGTCACCAAAGGTGTCCGCTCGAAGTCGGCTTGTCTTGCTTCGTGATGGTGCATGTTTTGCCACTTGGCAAACTTCACACTCACTTCGGATCTTGTCAAATAGATCGAATGTTGATTTCGGCAAATGAAGTGCTCGGGTTCTAAATCGAAATTGATCTGTGGTCATGTGATGATGCTGCAGATGGAGTTTCTTCAACTCTTCGGGATTTGACAATCGCTTGTGGATTCGATGTTGGTCTGAGGATGGTGCGAAAGGATCTGGCTCAATAGTCGACCGGCCCCTCTTGTCGATGATCCTGTCTGCTGCCGATCCTGAACCTGCTTCTTCGTCCTTAAGCGAATTGTCCGAGAAGGTGAAAATGGTCTTACCTATCCACAGGTTAATCATTGGTTTATTTGCCTGGGATGTAAGTCTCCAATTGTCTTCCAAAATGTCTGGATCTCCACCTGCGGATGCATCAATGATTTCCGTGGTACGTTCTCGGCTAATGTGATCAGGATTGATTGGACATTCCTTGGCTCCATTTGGTGTGAACAGCGCCTTTCGGGGCGTGATGTGCACACGGATGAGCTGCTTGTTCTTCTTGTCAAGGATCCAATGGTCCTGCTTTTGAGACCCAATGATCTTAGGAGTTGCTAGGTCCTCCTTTGTCTCGGATGATTTTGCTGCACAAACAGTGTCGCTCTTGGTGAGATCCCCGGAGGGAAAATTGATGCTGTTATCATCGTCATAGACATAGTTGGTGAGGCCCTTGTGAGCAATTTCTCCATGTGCCTTCACTCTTGCAACTCCAGCGAGATCGACGAGTGCATGTCGGAACTGCTTGACGGTTCATGCCAAAGGCCTTGCATGTGATCTTGTCACATTGAGGTGTGTGCTCGATGGTCATGTAGAGGTTCCGCATCTGGCTGATGCTGAGAAGGATCGGTACAGTCCCTTGTTCAAGGACGTCGATGTTCGTACTGCACGGAGGAGTTGTGTGATATCGAAGATGCAGGGTCCAATATACCCTGGCGGTCTCTCCGTTTGCAAAAGTGAACTTGGTCTCGGCCGGGATGTACTCATAGGAGATGATGTCTTTCATTGGTTCGATTGCCTGGGTAAAACGCTGGATTGCATGCCAGCTGCCCATAGATCTGGTACATCCATTGTCCAGAATCGCATAGGTCGGGTTGTGCTGAGGGTTGATGACAGGCGCCATCAGCTTTGTTGCCAGAAGGCTGTGATTTGTTGTTACGGACAGATTGTGTTCTGAAACTGTATCTGATTGGATCAGCTTCTCGTGGATGGCCTTTTTCCCAGGATGCTCATATGCATCATGGAATGCCATTAACGCTTGTCCTGTGCTGGATGTCTCATGGGATGAGTACCAGCCTTGTTCATTCCATGTCCATGATTGATCCCAATCTTGGTCTGTCCAACCGGCATAGGTAGGCTCTATGGATGGTGCAGTCTGCTGGATGGCGGGCTGCTCCTCCGTCTTTTCTGCGGTGGCTGCGAACGTCTTGGATTTTCCTTTCTCCTGTCCGCTCTTTGCTTTACCACTCTCATAGGATGGATAACCTTTGTTTCCATCATAGGGATATTGGAATTTTGATTTTCCTTTCTTTCCCTTCTTGCCTTTGCCTTTTCTCCAGCATGCCTGGTCGTAGGGATCATAGTTTTCGTTGGCCATATTGGCCTTTCCGCCAGAACCGCTTTATCTGAAGGGTTTGAAGCCACCTCGTTGGCGACTGCCCTTTTTGTTTCCTGATTTTCCTTTTCCTTTTCTCTTCTTGAACTTGAAGTTCCGCCCCGACACTTTTCTTGCTATGAACGCATCGTTCTCCTCGAGGACCCAGAACGTCTCTTCATCGTTGTTTGACATGAATCCTTCAAGTCCTTCTTCATCCTCAACCCAGAAGCCTTCTTCTCCTTCATATTCACCTTGTTCGATGATGATGAATGTGTTGCTTCGGCTGCCTCCTTGAGGTCGGATGGATGGATCTTGGATCGATGTCCTCGTGGTGATGAAGAGTTCATGGTAATGCGTCTTCAGCATTTCATAGGAATAGTTCTCAAGTGAGATGTTTCTTAATGACATTGCACTTGTCAGTCTTTCTCGTTGCTGATCTGACAACTCACTTTGAATAATGAAAAACTGTGCAATGAGATTATCCCCGAAGGGAAATGCGTCCCGCTGTCTGTCCTGCATTCCTTGAATATACTGTCTGAGGACTGTCGGATCGTCCTCATTGAGCAGGGCTGGAGGCGGTGCTCGAACACCGGCTGCTTGCTGATGTCGAGCAATTGTTCTTGCATTTGCGTCCTGTACGGACTGTCGAAATGATGGGGACTGCGCCGTAAAGATTGGCATCAAGTCCATCCATGCTGCCTTCAGTCTCATAAGTAGGATTTCGAATTTTGAGGTAAAAATGAGGAACTCTTGGTTCTGCCTCCGATGATTGAAGAAACTGAGGAGTCTGTACAGATACACGTTGGTCGCACCTTTCAAAAAGTACTTCTTCAGCGTGTTCTTGAAATAGTTGACTCCTTCATCAGGATCTTGCAAAAGATCATTCTGGAGGACGGCCTTGTACATATAAGCATCTCCAGTGAGTCTGCTCTTAAGCAATGGACCTCGCTTGGATGCTTCTACTGTGGTGATGGTCACCCAGTCGTCCACGAGTTCCTCGTACCTGAGCCAGCTGACTTTTCCGTCGTACGATGGCGGCTGCTTGGCGGTCATCGATAATGTTTCCTCCGTATAGCTCGGCTTGGCCATACTTGTATAGGCTTCCATGAAGCCTTCTCCATCTGATGACATCTTCCCTTGGATCTCTGCGGAAAACCTGCTCCGCTACCACGAATTGAGGCCCACTGCCCCAGGTGCCTATCCCCGAAGGGAACAGAGTCCAATATGCCAGTAATGGATGATTGGAGGATGGATTGTCCCTGGTGGATTGTCTTGTGGATAATCCTGTAAGCGGCCTGCAATGGCTCTTTTGTCTTCACGCTCGGATGGTCGTGATTCTGCAAAAGGGGCCCTTGAGCCAAATGTTGCGGGAGATCAATGGTCTGAAAAACAGAACACAGGGGGGGGGTTTGAGAGGTGCCCTTCAAAGGGTTTGCTCTATGGCGAAGGGATCTGAAGCCAAGCCGACGCCGCGCCTTGCCGAGCGAGGCCGCTTAGTCCTGCAGTGGCACCCAGATCGAAACCCCTCAGACCGCGAGGCGGCCGAGGCAGGGTGCCGTCGGGACCACGGCGTTGTGCCGCTGAACCCGGCGAACTGCGGGCCATGTCTTTGGGGGACCCCTGTTAAAAAGGTTGATGAGAATGAACTGTACGACGCAAGAGAGAAACCACCACTGTTGGTGTCCACCTATTGTGAGACATGGCCAGTTGGGCACCTTTGATTTTCTAGCGCAACAGATTGCGAGATGGCTCTTTTGATGTCTATTCTTTTCAAACGCTGATCTATGCCAACATGACACTTGGTCAAACTGGAATCGAAAGCCTTTGACACAGCGCTTCAATCAAAGGCAGAAGGTGCCCATCATTTTAGTATGGGGCCCCGCACACACTCACGCACCCTGAAGCACACCCAGCCTTGTTGCGGAAATCTCGGCGAAATCGGAGGTGTGCTGGTGTGCTTGGGCGATACAACAGGCCACGATGGCAGAATTATAGGTCAGAGGATTTTGGGCGTATCTCGTTGCCAATGGCAGGAGAAGATCCGGCTGCTAAACATTGCCTATGAGACCGTGACCAATCCGCTGAAGCCAGCAGCTCAGGGACGAGCAAGCTGGCAACATCCAAACAAGCTGCCAACATCCAATGGCTCAACCATGCGACCCTGCGGTAGGTGCCCTTGATACCCCACACAATGACCCTACAAAGATCGGTGATGATACAGGGTATGTCCGGCGTATGTACTCCAGAAAGATCAACCGAGCAGAAAGGTGGCTGCGCCTTTGCTTACCGCCTACGCATCGTCATTCGTTTCTTGTGTTTCTTTGGTTTCCTTTTTATCGCCGGTTTAGACATCACCCACCTTTTGGGTCTATAAATTATGATGAAGGATGTGCGCAACATAACCGATGTTTGTGTGCCTTTTGGCCGGGAGTCCAGTTCTGGAGCACGGTCCCAGGCAGTATTTTTTTTTTTTCTGGAGCGAGCGGTTTGTGGTGTGGTAGCGATACTGTCGGGGGCTGTAGAACCTCGTGGAAGATTGTTCCTTTTCTTTTTGCCGCATATTCTGTCCATTATCAGCTAAACAGGTGTTTTCTTGAAAGTCTGAAGGGTCGTTCTTTCAGTTGCCCGGGCTAAATAGCCAACAAATTGCATCTCCCCCAAGCGGAAACCCATGCGGTGCGGGTATTGTCTTACTTGGCATCCTATTCGACACTTTTTGACATCCGCCAAATGGGTGAATGAGCTCAGGGGCAGGATCACCAGAGCTGTACAGTACAACCGCGCTTGTTCGCGTTAGCCCCAGGCGCGAAACTTACGACCTGCAGCGCGCAGCATCCAAGACTGCCCGAATGGGATATGGCGGGTGTTGAGCTGCCGATGTCGCGGTCAGGGCTCCTGAAAGGGTAGCTGGCCAGATCAAATATGACCGCTGCCACCGACCATGTTTTGGGGGAATGTTCAGGCGGCCCAAGAAAAAGAAACCCCAGGATGGATCACATGTTCTTAGTGTCCCTTCCCTTGGCAAGCGAGATGCGATTTGTAGTTTGTTAGGCTTGCAAGTTATCGGTTTGGGCGAGAACCCGAGCTTTCTGGGCCGTCGCAGCCGCGCTGTGTGACTACGCGACTAATTATCCGCCCGAAATGGTATTGCCGCCTTGCAAGACGCAACTAGTTTGTTTGCACAAGGGGAAAGCCGTTTTTCAGCTGGGAGAGTGATGCTGCTTTCTTGCAGTGTCTTCGTTTTCGCCGACATGCAGCATGTGTCCAACGAGGGACACAGGGCTTGGCACAGCGGAGGCGCTTTTTGCTTAAGAAACCACAGACAGATGCACTCGGCTTGGTCATCTCTCAGCTGCGGCTGTCATGTAAATTCGACTTGGACGCAGGGTCTGATTTTCTTTCGCCCCCTTCTGGAAGGATTCAGTCGCCTGAGTGGGTGTGAGTCAGACTCTGACCTGCAGGTGAAGCCGATTTTCCATCATCGGCGTGTCTTTAGTCGAAAGCAGGAGGAATCATAATCCCACTTCGGCTGAAAAAAGGATACAAGGGCATAAGGATACAAGGGTTGTCCAATGGTTGTTTTTTCAACCCACTTGTTGTCTGCAAAGCTGAAGCAAGCGCAAACCTACCCTCAGAAACCCCCCGCCCGGCCCATCTTAAGGGGCCAACGAATTTTGCGCGCTCAGATGAGTCTCAGATGATACGCGGTGGATTGGTTTAGTACCAACCCCTTTCACCTGGCCGAACTCAAGCATCCCCACCCCCTAAAAATGGAGTTGCTCCACACACACACCGCCTCCCCCATGAAGGTGGGGGGGAACCTGAAGGGCCCTTAGGTACCCCACCTGTCCTGGGCGTGCGCAGGAAGCGCAAGGGGCCCTTGAAGCCGCGCTCTGCTCCACGCGTTGGGGTGCCGAAGGAGTCGGCGGCTTGGAACTCTACGAATTTGCTGAGGGTTCCGGGAAGTGTGGGGTCCTCTTAGGGTCGGCGTTTTTTGTTTTCTTTTTTCTAGGGTGAATCAATAGGGTTTCCTTGTAGTTCTGTGCCATGGCAGGTTAGTCAAGGGATTCTCCGGTGGAAAGGGATTCCCTGGCAATCTACCCCGAGCGAAGTTCTATCGAAACGCTGCTAAGTGGGTTTGTCTCAAATTGGAGGAGCGTAGCTGGCATTTGGTTTCCCTTTAATGTATGCCAGAAAGGGTACCCTCAACGCAGCCCCTTGTGTGGTGTGCCATCAAAAGCAGCATTATTCGATGCCTACAGGGTCCCTTGAAGGATGCGTTGCAGCCATTCACACCAGGTGACTTAAAGCATCCGAGTCATTGTAAAGTAGGTGGTTTCTGGATGCATCCCTTTGGGGAACAATCTCCAAGGTTCATGATGCAGCCAGTGGGTCATCCTGAAAGCTTCGTGCGAAGCGCCTTGGACGCAGACCGATTTCCTTCGTGGCTCACGCCGGAATTTTCATCTGAAGTGACCACCTTTGGGCACCTCCCGCAGGCTCTTCGGGAGAACAAGAAGACCGACCATCTCTGGGAGTTTCTAAGCTTACAAGGTGCTACGTAGCCTATGATTATGTTTTTTTTTTTCTCCGATGCCCTCAAAGGAAGCCCAGAATTATTCAATGTCCCCCAAAGGAAGCCCATAATTATCAATGTAAAGGACGCCCTTAATTTATTCAATGTCCCCTAAAAGGAAGCCGCAACTATTTAAATGTTTCCCAAAGGAAGCCCAGAACTATTCAAAGTCCCCCAAGGGAAGCCCATAATTATTCAATGTCCTGCAAAGCAAGGCCATAATTGTGCAATGTCCCCCAAAGCAAGGCCATAATTGTGCAATGTTCCCAAAGGCAGTCAAAAGGGGATGAAATTTTGACAGTCTTTCCAGACCTGTTCAGACCCCAGAGGACACATTCCATCCAGAAAAGCAATGAGTCCCATGCCAGGCTTGGGCCGCAGAGTGGTGGTTCACAGCCGAGGCTTGACTTTGCAGTTTGAACGAAGTCGATGGCACACAAGTATCACGACTAACGCTCTGAGCCTCATGATCGAACAAGGGGGAAGGGGTGTTCTTTGGTGTCCCCTTCCAGGAGTGTGTTTTCTCTTCCAGGAAATTGGGAGCGACACTAGCCGCTCCCTGGCAAACAGTGCCAAAAGCTTCGGGCGGATTTGGGACGGCTAGAAATATGGACGCTTTCGTTGCTGCTGGAGGGGACCCAAGGCACACCACTCCTTCAGGACCCCCAAATTGTGCTTGAACCTCCCAGGTCTCCAAAATGGGGCAGCCCCATGTGTGGTTTCCCCTTTGATCCCCTTCAAGTCGCTGGTTTCGATAACGTGTGGTTTGCTGGTTTACCCCGCATTTGCCCCTATACTGTTTGGCGAGTTGATAGCTCGTTTGGTTGGTTGGTTGTCAACAGGCTCTTTCGCCCAGACTCCTTCCAGCTTGCAGGGGACGCCCCGGATGCCAACTTCCAGTCCTTCTTCCTGGGCAGCAAGTTCGCGCTTTGGTGGCTGCCCGAGGCCAACCCGAGAATTCGGGAATCTCGAGTTGTCGATGGTCGGACAGCTGCCCTGTGACAACGAAGCAACACTGGTGTCTGCGTGTTTTTGCTGAAGCCCCTTTTAAAGGGCAGCTACTTGGGCAAACAAAATCAAGCGACCTCACGGAATCCACGCGAATACAGACACTCCAACGCAGTCAGAATGCCGCCTTTTGGCCCCTTGGTTCGTCTTTCTCGGGGGACACATCCGAATTACGCTTTCCTTTTGCCTTGCCAAGAATCTCCAACCCTTTGCCCACAAGACCCTCGACGGTTGCAACACGCGCTTTTCCCCCGAAAGGTTCGAACAGCTACCTGGGCGGAGCGGGGCTCGGCGGATCCGACGCGTCAGGTGAACAACATGTGCCGCATCCGCAGCCTGGGATCCAAGGCGCGCGGCGACAAGCGAGCTGCCGCGGCAGGCCCGCGAAAACGGGGGACGGGACGGGGGAGGGTGTTTTGGAGGGCCCCGTTTTTGGGCGGCGCAAGGGGGAAACCAAAAGGAAGCCAACCTTTTTTTAGGGGTCCTGGACCCTTCAGCTACCCAACAAATGGAACTCACCCTAAAAAAATGGGTAGAAAGCCATTTGTGTGGGAAGTTTTTGAGGGTTCAGGGCCAGTTCAGGGTCCCTTATTTGGAGACAAGTTGAGTTGGGCGCTGTTCTAGCCCATGATTCTTGTAAGTCTCCCTTCAAGGCAAACTGGGTGAGTAATTGTTTCATGTTCCAGCCCTATTTACGCAAGGCCGAGCATGATGGCAATGTTATCAGTCCCAAGTTCGGGGCTGTTTTTCCGTGTCGCAATAGGAACCAACAGCCGAAAGGATGCCCCGGCAAAAAAATGGGATCCGACATAGTCTGTCAATTTCCGTTTGGACCCAAGAAAGTGTATTTTTCACTCGAACCCACCAGGCAATTTCCACCTTTCTTTGACAAATCCCAGCTGCCGGCGCGGCAGGCCGCGCCGGCGGGCTGAACATGGCCTTCGACCCACACAAGGCCAAGACAGCCGGGGCTGCGGGCGCGAGGCTCAGAGAGCTCAAGCGAAATTGTGTTTGCTTGAAAAGGGAGGGGCGGTTCTCAGACTTTGGAGTCGCCTTGTTGGATTTGACAGGGTACCAAAAACTCAACCAAGTTACCGTTGCGTTTCTCACAGCAATCGGTCCATTTGCTGAATGGCAATGCAGTTTCCTCTAGGTTATTGCCTGTGCAAACCAACCAGAATTGGGTCCACCATTTCCAGCAACTCCAGGATGGCACTAGTTTCAGGTGGCTCAGACTTCATCCCTTGGGTCCTCACGAAAGATGGTGGCCGAAAAATATCTCGGGCTGGCAACTGGGTCACATGGGAACTCTTGGGCTCCGTGTGCTGTGTGCGTTTCGGGGCTGAGAAGTGGCTTCGAAGTGTTGGAGCTTCACCATGGCACGCCTCCGTTTCTGCAACCAGTGGTCGGTCCAAAGGCTTTGGTTTGCTGCGATCCGGCAACCGCTGGTTAGCATGTTCAAGTTGCGTGAGAGAGAGAGAGAGAGAGAGAGAGAGAGAGAGAGAGAGAAAGAGAGAGAGCGGTTTCATTGGAGTGCCTCGGCGGATGAGCGGATGAGGGCATCCCCCGAGCTTGCCCTGTGACACGCTTCCATTGGAAGCATTGGGTTTAGATCCCTACGGCGCAGCTCTCGCCGGATCGCCCGAGTCGCTGCGCATGCGATGCGCATTTGATCCCAGGCGGTGAGGTGCGTGCGCCCCTGAGACTTCGGCCGGGCGTGAGCTCGGCGTGCGTCTCCGGGGTAGGAAAGCCCTCCAAAATGGGAGCTGGTTTTTTTTGTTTTTTTTTTTCTCATTTTGGGTGCCGAGCTTCAGTGTATCCGAGCTTCAGTGTCCAATTTGTCATTGGGTGCTGAGCTTCAGTGTATTCCATGCGGCCCTTTGGAAGATGCGGCTCAGGAATGGCTCCCGCCAACAAAGGCCAAAAGGCCGGAGTTCGGGAGCGCAGGTTGGAGCAAAAGGCTGTACCTTTCGTTCCACCTTTTTTGCCGACCCGCAAGATGGGCTTCCGGGGTCCGGCTGGTTTTATGGTGCGGGCTGGAGGGTTCTCCAAATGGATGAGCTTTCTTTTTGCCATTTGGTCGCCGGAACATGTTGTTGCTGGGTCCTCCCATGATCCTTGCAAGGCCCCTTGCTCTCCTTGCTCTCCTTGCTAATACGCAGTTGGCTTTGGGAAATCCCGGTGGGTTGGCTGCTTGCAAAGGCATGACACATGCACTGCCCCCCATGTCAGGGATCTCTTTAAAGCAGAGTTGACCGTGTAAGGTTCACGAAGTATGAATCACAATCAAACATATAAAACTTGATGCTTGGCAAAACCTGAGGTAGATGCCGCCCTGAAAGTACACATGCCAAAGCTTCGTGCAGGCAGACAGCGTGAACTTTGTCACGAAGGCTGCGAGCACACTTGTTTTACTTGTTGCCTTCACTTTTGCCGCTAGCCTCCCACCAAAGTGCACGGACCCCTTGTGTTGCCTTGGGGCTGTGCAGCGAACCATGTTGTGGGAGGGTAGCCTGTGGTTTTCCTCCCTTGAGTCCTTAAGTTGACGGAGGAGACAGGGGAGCAACCGGGGGGGGAGGGCTCCCGCTCCATGATTCCTCAAAATTGAAACCGGAGACTTGCGCTGAATGAGTGAGAGTCTCTCGAGCCGTGTGTTGAGGCCAGCCCAATTTGCGAAGGAGCGCCTGGGCCTCAGCAGTTGCTGCCCTTGTCGGTTTGGGGGTATTTTTCTCTACTGCAATTGGGTTGGATCTTTAGACTTTAGCTTTTTGATTGACCACATATGTCCTTTTAACCAGCAAACAGTCAAGCTTTTCGCTGGGGGACCTACAGCGCCAAAGTTTAGTTCGAGCCTGTTGCCAAGGGAAAGCCAAGAAGCAGCCCGCAAAAACCCATCAAGCTCCGACCCATTGGCTGTGTGGATCTTGTTGGATTCACCTGGCCAGTTTCCTAGGAGCCCACCGTGCTGGTGCTGCAGGGGGGGGTGACCAATCAATGGGGCGGGCATATCCATCAGTGGTGGGAAGCACGGTGCGTTTCACTTCAGCTTGTTGCTGGGGGCACAGCGACTTTTCGAACCGGTGATGTCAGTGTGAGGTAAAACCAACTGGACAACCGGGCCTTTGCTTTGATGCTTTCATGGACGCCCCCAAAAGGGGTGGTTGTTTTATGTTGTGTTTCTCAACACGTTACAGGTGACCCTTAAAGCACTTGTTTGTTTTTACGTTTTTTGCTGGGGAATCCACCTCACGCTTGAGCTTTCTGCGAGACACCCAGTCCATTCGCTCGCTCTCCAGGCTTCGCTTCGAGTCTGCGAGTCAAAGAGGGTGCCCTTCTCAGGGACTGAGGTGCATTCGGGAGAGGAAATTCTTCATGTTCAGGGTTGTGGAATCAAGGGGTTTATTCCCACTTCTGTGATACAAGGGAATCTCCCCCTTTATATGGGGTGTTAGTCTTTGGGAAGCCCTTTTTGTTGTTTCACAGAAGTGGTCATTTCCCACAACCCTGTTCATGTTTGAGGTTCTGTCAACGGGAAGCCAAAAGAAAGGGCCGGTTGTCCAGAATGGACTAGCAGCTTCAATCCTTTCTGGGAATCCCAAAACGGTTGATTCCTCATTGCCTATTGCAATCGCAGACCTGCAGATAGCGTGCTCGACCGCCCCCTTTTGGGTGTCGACTGTTTTGAGACAAACCCATGGGTCAAAGGGAATATCCCTCGCAACAATAGCCTTACAATGCCCCGCCGCATCCCCCTTCCTGCAATGCGTCCCTTTGAGAACTCTCCCTACAAGGGTTTCCGAATGTCAAGCTGAAACAGCTACAAATTGGACGTCAACAATCGGTAAGTGGCAGGCACATGGAACTTGCAGATTTCAGAGTCTTCAGGCATAGAAGTTTCCGGGTCGAGCATGGACAACTCAACCACCGCGGCGCATTTTTGAGCAATAAATACTCTTATTGGCACACATTCAAGCCACAATAATTGAAAGAACTTTGCTGAAACAAGTGTCAACCAGTTCGTGCAAGTTGTAGTTTGTTGATTGCCCCTGACACTCCTTTGGTGGACATCCAACACTGGGTTTCAAATGGTTTCAAGTCTATTTGCAGTCATCAAGCAATTGAACCCCCAGTTGGTTTAATGTTTAAGCATGGCGTGCGTAAGCAGTGGCCATGACTGTGACGGTCGAGCTGCTGTTGGGTACCTCCTCTCTCTCTCTCTCTATCTGGGCTTTTCTTTGTTTTCCAATCCCTTTTCACTGCCAGGCTTTGTTACTTCTTCCATGCCCAAGCAGGGGGCTCTTTTTCAGCGTTGCACTGAGGCAATACTTGGCCTTCATCCCGCCCTCGCATTTGCGCGCCGGTGCCCCGGCTACGGCCCTTGTGTGACTGGCGTGGCTGGTTTTATTGGGCGGCTCAGCTGCGAATTTCTGGGCTGCTGCAAAAAGGGGTCATGGCGTATTGGCATGTCAGCGATATGTCAATGAAGAATGAGGTCGTGCCCTTTTTGGAAGAGACAGAGGACTGCAACTGCAGCTGGCAGCTGCTGATTGGGGGGGTGATGGGCACCAAGCTTCCAGTTTTGGACCTGTGAGTTGAAGCACTGGGCGTGCCCAGCCTCGCTCCCTGCCTCAGCTGTCCGGTGTCCCTTCAAAATGGACCCACCACTATGCCCCTCTGAGAGAACTGACGCCGCAAAACGCCATTTGATGCAATGAAATTTCCAAACGCCGCTGTCTGAGGAACTTTCGTTTTTTGGGGGAAGGGGACCCCTCAGTTGTTTTGGGGGGGGGGAGGGGGGGGAAGTGGGTAGCCTCCATGCCAAAGCGCCGCCAGGACCGTGTCCTTGACTTCCTCTTCGTGGACTTTGCGAGCATGTCGCCCTTCCCCAGTTGCCGGTCCCCCGCGCCACCTAGCTCGCCGGGTTCGGCCGAGTTGTTGTCCAGCCAGTTGGGTCAGTTCAACCGCTTGGGTATTCCCCCAAATTGGCAAGTTTGGCCCTTACCGGTTCCAAAGCCTTGAAAGGTTCACCGTTTATGTCCGGGCCCTTTGGGCAGGTCATGCCACTAGCTGGTTTTGAAGGGCCACGTTTGGGCCGGCAAGCTGGCCTCGTGGACGCCAGCCGGAGTTTGGCATCGCATTTCAGACAGCAAGGAGCGAACTCCAGCCGTGTCTTTTGCCATGAAGTGAGAGTCGCTCTCAAAGGGGAAGCCATTTCTTGGTGGCTCCCAGCCATCCCCTTAGCTTTTTAGCTTTTCAGGGGTTAGTGGGAATTTCCATTTCACCCACGAAGAGTTCTCAACTTTTAGCGGGGGATCTGAGGGCCCAGATTTTGGAGCGTGAAGACTGGACATCTGCGAAATTCCGAGCTCACTCGTGACCCGCCAGGTTCAAGTTCATTACGCTGCAGGAAGTCCTTGAGCCCATCTTCAGTCTGAAGCTCAAGTGGCTCCCAGGCCCCAGGTGTTTCAAACTGCTTTTTGCTTGGTGGTTCCTCCACTCGCCGGGGATCAACCCGTTAGACTGGTTCGAACCACTGGGCTCAGTGTTTGCGGGCTTGGTGCCTCTGTGGCGAATGTGTGTGGCCGGCGGGGGCCATCAGGTGCAACGCGGCGTGGGACTTTACGTGGGTTGTCAAAATAGGTCCCTTTCGGGGGCACCCCCTGCAAAGATAGTTCAATCAGAGCTGGGTCCACAAGAGGGTTCCTCTTTTGGAGGGTATTTGGAGGTGTCTTCAAATGTGGAACCCCAAAGCCGACCCACCCCAAACCCACCCCTAAACAACTGCCATACACACCAATCCCACCCTACACCACCCCAGCAGTACTAAACAACACTTGGACAGAAAGTGCCCCTTGTAAACAACTTTTGGCCACTAACATGGAGACCCGAGGGACCATTTTTTGGAGGAGAACTTGTCCTCTGGTTTATCCCTCAGTTACATTCCGGCTCAGGCAGCGAGGCACCTGGCACCTGGCCCTGCGCCAAGTGGCCGTAGCCCGTTTCGGTAAAAAGACGTGTGGTTGAACCCAACCTGCAGAAACCCAAAGACGGGTCCCCTATTTGGGGGAGGGGGGGGGGGAGGGAGGTGTTTGCTTTTTGTGAAGCTAGAAAAAGAATCGGAAGCAATGGAGGGGTCATCCAATTTCGGTAGGAACCGCCACTCTTGCTATAAAGCAAAACATCAGTTGCCTGAACTTTCAGCAGGGTGCCGCGCGTAAGTAGCCATCGTGGGGATTGGTGGGTTAAGCGAGTGTTTCACGCCTTTGCGTGTCGAGTGGACTGCTTTTGCGGGTATTTTTCTCGAGCCAAACCGAGGACAAGGGCTAATAAAGGTCTGTTTGAACAAATTCACAGTGCCTGGATCGGCTTTCTAGGTGGTTTCAATCAGTGGACCTGGAGCCGAGGATTGAGCTGAGCAAGTTGCAGGATGATGAGGCGGTGAAGAGCCACTTCAAAGAGGCCGACCTCTCCGGAGGGTTTATAACGACCTCACACGATCTCACCCCAAATGGTGGTTTATGTGGGGAATGGCCCCCGTTATATCCACCTTATTTCAGGCTGGTGAAAGATTATAATTCACCCAGACTTTATGAGATTTGCGGTTTAGAAAGCAGCTTTTTGTCGAGGGAACCCTTTTGTTTCATGTCGTGCTCAAGGAAGTCAAACACGTCCATTTTGGGAGTTCCCCCCTTTGGAGCCAATCCCATACTTCCAACTGGTTGGTGGTTTGACGATGCTTGAAACGGAATTTGTTGGGCCAATCTGTTTTGTGAGTTCGCCTTCGTGGGGCGAGTCATACAGCACCGCAGGGTCTGGGCCAGGCAATGGCTGCTTTAATGGGATGACAGGCTGCAACACCCCTCCAGTTTTGATCCGCGTTTGGCTTTCTGAAGGGGGCTTGCATTGATGGCCGGGCACTGCGGACGGGCAACACATCCCTAGAAAGCCACGGCATGCCTGAGACACGTCGATTCAGCGATACACAGCACCTGAGGACAAATTGCATCCCAAGGAAGATGGTTGCCAAATGGCGTTTCGGTGTCCGCCCACTCCCCTTTGCCTACAATTCGACAACTCGACCCGACCCCAACCCGATGGATCCGTCCAGGTCATGGGAAAGGAGGTTTGGGATGCGGAGGACTTCCAAGCCCTTTGGCATGAGCTACACATGTGCACCTGTGCCTCAGGGGCTGAGGGGTAAAAAAAAAACATGCAAATGCTGTGGGTAGACTAACGTGCCCAATTGATCAGATGTGGCGAGAGGTTTAGTTTTCCAGTTTGAAAGCTTGAGCATGTACATGCACCTCTTTGCGGCGGGCAATGGCCGCGCCACCAATATCCGGCGCGGGTTCATTGGCTTCACGGGCCGAAGAAAGCAGCAAGCGGGCAAAAACGGCCCTGAAGTTCGTATGCTAGGCTTCCAGCTCCATGGATCCTAATGTTAAAACCTCCTCGGACTTGTCGGAATATTCTGACCAAACAACCATATGTAACAATCATGTATATATTAAACAAGAACATGTGTTTTGTTGATGGCCTGAGATCCGGTTTTATAGACATGTACATCACGTGCATGAAATGGCAACCATACAGTTGTGTGTTTTCTTTCTCGCCAGAGATCCATTTTTTTTGCGCCATGTCGGCTTGATGGCGATTTCCTGGCAGTCCACCTTCGCCTTTTGGGGCGCCGACTTCCCGGCGCCGGGGTCCAGCGATGCACACTGGGACTCCTTTTGGCTCACCTGCTTCCGCCTGCCCGCGCTGCTCCTCGTGGCGGCTTCGGACAACCCCAGAAAAAAAAAAAAGCCGCGGAGCTTGCGCCGTTTTTGTTTGTGTGGTTTTCTTTTCTCGCTGGTTTGGGGGTGCGTCTTTTTGTTTTTTAAGGGCGCCGAACAAAAAGCCAGGGGCCTTGGTAGCATACCTGGAAAGCCCGGCGGTGCTGAATTTCTGCCGCTGATTGAAATTGCACTATTTTTCGCCGTTGCTGCAAAAAAACGCTTTTGTTCCCCCGAAACGCCGTAGGAGCAATTCGTCAATATTCAAGGACTGCTGTGAACGGCCAAAAACGCCGTTTGATCGCCAAAAAACGCCGTTTGATTGGCGAAAACCGCCGTTGGTAAAAATCAGTCGACCAGCTTGACCTTGCAACAAGTCAGTTTCCCCCAAAAACGCCTGGAGGCAGAAATTCATGTTCCCAGACTGAAAAAGCAGTTTTCGTTCAAAAGGCGGAAATTTTACACACCTTGGGATTTCCAGGTATCTCTTGGCTTCCGGCTTTGGAGCTGTTATTTTTTTGGATTGTTTGTTTTTTTGAGATCAATTACCAACTTGTCGGGGTGTGCGTTTGGTGCGAAATGGCCACAGGTCAGGGTCTCCGGTTTTAGTCCATTCGAGGTGGGCACTCTGACTGCCGGCGTCGTGCTCTTCATCCTTTGTAGGGTGCACATACGTGACCCGGCCCCAGTGAACCGCAAGAACCGGACAACGAAAACTGGAATGGCTGTGGTTGTCAAAACCAATGGGATCCCATTTTGGGATAGGTGCACCACCCATGTTAGTCTATTTTAGTGGGGATTGGGATGTTCACTGGGGACAGGGTTTTGACCCATGGCCGAACCACTGCGAGGGTTTAGCTGCCCATGCTTGGCCAAAAAAGGCTGCCATCAAGACACCGCACCAATTTCGTTGGCGTTGCTTTCGGGTTTTGTAAGCAGCGCTGATTTGGTGTCTGGGAAAGTCGATCCATGCAGAGAGCAGGTGGGTTAGTTGGTGTTTCGAAGACGCGGCACGCTGTTCATGGGCCAAAGCGTTGCTGCGACTCAGGTGCACAGGACAAGAACCAGAACCGGCTGTTGACGCACTTTCTGCTTTTGGCTTTGCTGACTCCCGGCTGCAACCTTGAAGGGCCTGTTGAACCTGTTGTATTAGAATCTGGTTGGGGAGTGCTCTGAAGCCAAATAACTGACTAAGTAGCTGGCGAGTCTTTGAGGGTCGCACCAACTGAAAAATGCAACCTCCGAAAGTGCTCAGAGGTTCATCGCTAGATAGTTGCGAAAAGGTACCTTCGAAAAGCAAACATCAAAATAACATACATACGAGTAAAACCCCATACGTTCTGAATCCCAAACTTGTTCTTTCGCATGGGCGTTGGCAATGAACTTACGGGTCCGATTTCTTGCCGGATTCCCTGCTATTGAATTGATGGTTTATGTTTGAACTGTTGGTTTCCCTGGCAACACACACACACACACACACACAAGCACGTCACCTTTCAAGCCCACCTGGGACCTTGGAATACAAGGAATCCTCATCGTTGAAGGGGTTGGGGTATGCTCAAAAGGCATGTTGGGGTCTTGGAAAGACTGGTTCTACATGGTACTTGTTGAAACTTTCTCGAACAAACTCGGTCACAAAGCGACATGGAATTGAATTAAGCCCCTAGACACATTTGGCGCAGGCTGTGACACGGGCACCGATCAGATGCCCGAAACCTTTCCAAGGCCCCAATAGGCACTGAGATTGTGTCAACTAACCGCATGGGCCTTTTTGCTACTCAGCTTTCTCCCACTTAATTAAGTGCCACCCTTTCATCAAACCCGAACCACGATGGAATTGGGGCCAGCCGGGGTTTCAGGATACTTCCATGTTTCCCTCCGGGGCAAGGCAGAATAAAATGGAACTGGAGGACCTTCTCAATGCTTTTTGTCTAGGCGGATACTGGAAAGTGAGCTCGGACCAAGCCGTCAGGAACCTTGTGTGTTTGGCCTTGGGCATCTACCTCTCCAGCTCTGGCAACTATGCGCAAGCGGCCGACACGCTGGCGGCAGCAGAGGTGGGAACTGGGAATGGGGCAAGTCTCCGAGCAGTGGAATTTCCACCTCGGTTTGCGGGTTGGCATCTGAGCTTCGTGAGCAAAATCACTAGCACCGGACCAACTTGTCTTCTGATTCTGGGGAAAAGTCGCTTGGCCAGCTGCTTGCCTTCCTGTTGAAGAGTGGCAGTTGGCCGCGTGGCTTCCACTGGGGCCCTTGGGGATGGCTGGTCTCCGTTTTGTCCATTTGGATTGTTGTGAACGATCCCAACATAGAAAACCCTCGAAGGAAGACACAAGAAAATCGTGGCAGGCAGACATAGAGGAGGTACACGGAATGGCAGAAGCGCTGAACATCTCCGCGGTCTCCTTTCAGCATGACTTGGCTGCCTGGCGGATCGGAGGATTCACAATTTTGGATTTGAGGGTAACTTGGCGTGTTTTGAAGAGTAAAGCCCTTTGGAGAGGAAATCATCGTTCAATGGGACAAGTTCGAGGTGTTTTGGAAGCTAAGCCACCAAGGTTCCAACCTTGCCCGAGAGGCGCCTTAGGTTTCCCCCCGAAACCTGGCATGTCCAGTATCTTGTAGGCTCGTTTCGGCTCGTGGATGCTGGCCGCTGACTTCAGTCATCAAATTTGACCTGTGTCTCAGACATTTGGACCCACAAAACGGGTTGTTTCCTGCAGGGTTTCCTTAACAATCCAAAGCAAGGTACCCCCAAACAAAAAGAACGACGCACACGCAGGCCCAATTCACCGTGCATGCGATAAAAATCCGCAAAATCAGTAGCATGGTGAGCAGATCATGGTGCTGGACTGGACATCTGCTTTAATAGATTGTTTGTGGAGAGGGCTTGCTTTCACGGCTTGAAGCCACATTAACACGGCCTTCCAGGGTGTCGAGCAGGTTGTTGGACCGCATTGCCCCCCCCAAAAAAATGGAGCAGAAAATGCCACGTCGGACGAACCCGTTCCCGGGAGGTTTTAAATCACTCCCCTTCCCCCCCCCCCCCGCCTGGCCAACCACCCCCAGTTGTTCAGTGGCACCGCATTTCCCTTTTTGGTTTGGCTTCCCTACACACGGTCAACCCCGAAAAGGTTTTCCCTTTTTGACCAGGGTCGCTGGCCTGTGGTCGACAAGCGCCTCCCCATGTTTTGTCCCCGTCCGAATGTCCGAGGCTGAGCTCTACTCAGAGTGCCCCGCTTCCACCCACGAGTTTCTGGGCGACTCAGTGGTGCAGCGGAAGAAAGAGGCCCGCCATGCCGAGGACGGGCCACTGTTTTGGGGGACTTGGGGGACCCCCTCAAAAAGCCCAGAATCAATGATTTCTCCTAAATTGAGCCTCGCGTCAACCAGATGGGTCTTGAGAAAAGTTTGGACACACGGGGGAGTTTGCAACAACTATGTTCAGATGGGTTTTCCAAGAGCCGTCAGGGGAGTCGAAAAGGTGAGATACAAAAATTGGCTTGGACAAAAGAGAGAGAGGTCCCAAATCTTGGGGCAGTTGTTCTTGTTTGGTCCTGTACAGCTGCAGGGAAACAAGTGTTTTGCTACAGGCTTGGAAAACCTGGGTAGGTCCTTTGCCAAAAGGGGAAACTAAATGATCCACAGTTTCAGTCAATGTCCTACGAATTGAAGCCAGCAGGACACGGATAATTTTGGATGTTTATATTTGCTCAGATCCGCATTTAGAACCCTGGCAGAAGCGGGCAATGTTTTGTTATAGCATCCCCCCAAATTGGCACTTTGACTTCCCATTTGGTTTCCACCGATTCGAAGCCCAACTTCCCACTGAAGGGGGGATTTGGTAGTGGTTCTTTGGGATTGCTTGTTTTTACCCCGGGGAAACTTGTCTTGATTTTGCCCATGTGCGGACGTTGTTTTTGGGTTGCCCCGTTCACCATTTTCTTGAAATGAAATGGGGGACCAAAGGGATACCAACCATTTTGGGGCGAGAGCACTTGGCCTTCCAGGAGTTTGCCCTGCTTCTTGACGAGCAGCTCAGTGGGATTCCTCAGTGGCTGGGCTTGGCAGCGGTGAGCTATCGATCTGCAGCAGTCTTCATCGACTGGTGCATGACTTTGCCCATCATTCTGCTGGTTCTTTGCTATGGGGCCATTGGTTTCCTGGTGGCGTTGACCGAATTCTCGGGCCACAACTGCCTCAGACGTTGCCGTTTCTGCCATTTGCCCTGCCTCGCGTGGACACTCATTGGCCCAGCAGTGCTGGTGATCAGCGTTGTGGCGTCTCTGGAGGCATTCCTCGCTGTGACTTCCAGCGCCTTTTGCGGTCATCCCGATTTAGTCGTGCTGCAGCTTGACTGATC